TAAGAAAATTCGATAATTCTGGAGAAATCACTTCTTTCACTCTCTCATATTATTACCTCTCACTAAAACTCCTCAGTGAGCGTGAGTGGCTTATCCACCCCCTCCTCTTATTCCAATACAACTTTCGGCCAGGTTAATCAACTTTGAATTCGTGGTTTACGAAAAATGAAATTTTCGCTTTACAGCTTGCATTTCCAGGTGTGTGTCAATCAACATTGACACTTAAGTCTGAGTCAATTTTCCATAATAACACTCGACTTCATTGAACAAAAGTAATTCCTGTTTTTATAACAATATTTGGTTTATCAGAGTTTGCATGCAATTGATTATCAGCCCAACCCGCATCTAAACTGGAAGTGATACTATCGTCGACCTGGCCAAAATCTGGTTTGCTGTTGTTGGTGAAGTTTGGAACAAGGCTGAAGTCGGTGGTGGGGGTCTCTTCCACAGGCAATCTCATGGGGTGTATCACGACCGGTGACTGTGACAAACTCTCTGCCGTTTCGTCTCTGTCCGCTCCAACTAGCGAATGCGCTTCGAGCATTCGTAGTTATCGACATAATTTTGGGGAATTCCCTTCGCACAATCTCTCATATCCCTCACTACATCACCTCGGTGAGCATATGTGGCTTATCCCCCCTCCCGTCTCAAATCAACTTTCGACTAGGAGAATAAACTCCAAATTCGTTGTTTATCGAAAATGAAATTTTCGCTTTACAGTTTGCATTTTCAGCTGTGTGTCAATCAACACTGCTCCCTAAGTCTGGGTCACTTTTCTATTGTTCAAACTGCTCGACAAGTCAAGTCGTTTTGTGTGAATTAAATCTTCAATTCTTCCCGCGGGTTTTTGGTATTAACCCTTTTCGTTTCAATGTCTTTCAGCACATAACACTTTCTATTGATAAGAAAAATTTCTTAGATTTTATCTTACCGCGGTAACAACAAATAGTATCACACATATTGGAGACGTCAGAATTTAGCAAGTGCAGAGATTTAAATAGCTGATCAATGTCGTAATAGACAACGGAATATGAGACAAAAACCAAAAAGTGCGGAAATAAAAAAAAATATAAAAAAATATAAAAATATAAAAAAAAGATATAAGAGAAAGAGAAAGCACCCCGAGACGGTGTAATGGTTAGCAAGCTCGTATCGCTAGAAGAATTTCGGCAGAGTAGTGAATTCGGTTCTCACTGGGTGCCCCGTACTTTCGGCCTTGTGTCACGCCTAAGCTACGATTGGAAAATCACTAGAAGAGAAAGAGTGAGCTAGAGAATGAAGAAAAGATGGAAAAGGAGAAGCAAAGATAGAGAGAAAAAATTAGCTAAGGTGTTTTTTATTAAACTTAACGTTCCTAATTTTCATTTTAAACAGAGTGATAGACATAGCAACAGATTATCTAAAATATTAAAAGAAGGGAGAAAGAAAAAAGAGCTAGGTAAAAAGAGACAGTTTTATTGAGCGGCTTATCCGTTTTTAAGGTTTCTTTTACGATTTATCAACCCATTGAAGATTATTGTATTGTATTGTATTTGAAATAATAATGATTTATACTGATACGCGTACTACTAATTAATACTTAGCTGAACGGAGAAAAGATGGTTTCATAACTTTTCGAAGGTTATTTGCTCGTAAATAAATTTACCGAACCCGGCCAATATTAGAAATCGACTCACCGATTTCCAATCCAGAGACGTTATCCATTGCACCACCCGTACATCCACATTTCCAGCACCTGTTATTCACAAGCGGTAACCCATCTAGGTACAGACCAAGGTGGACTTTACTTCGTTGATCGTACGAGAACCTGTCTGTCAACGTGATATAGCCGTAAGCCTGTAAGATATAAAATAATGAACTGCCACGTGATATCACTCTTTCTGCATGCTAGACAATTTCCTCACATATGAAGAGATGCCACGAAGCAATATGCATGTTATCCAATAGATGGATGCGGATATAACAGATGGAACATTTACATTGTTCAGACTGTTGTCCTCACCTTTATTGACATATTCACAACGTTTCGGCCAAAACGCCGTGAAAATGACAATAAAGAGAACAACAGACAGTCCTAACAGACTAAATGCATCTAGATATAAATGCATCTAGATATAAATATGTCCATGACCACCGTGAACCACCTGAAGAAGGCCGGAGCGTACAACGGTCGAAACGCCGTAAATATGGCAATAAAGATGAGGACAACAGTCCGAACAATGTAAATGATTTACATAATTACAATACCTCATCTCAGAAACATGGACAAACAATGTATCTAGACAGAAACCAGTTCATATCCAGTGTGAACCACCTGAAGAAGGCCGGACCGTAAAACGGTCTAGACGCTATGAATATGGCAATAAAGATGAGGACAACAGTCTGAACAATGTAAATGATTTACATAATTACAATACCTCATCTCAGAAATATGGACAAACAATGTATCTAGACAGAAACCAGTTCATATCCAGTGTGAACCACCTGAAGAAGATCGGAGTGTAAAACGGTCTAGACGCCATGAATATGGCAATAAAGATGAGGACAACAGTCCTAACAGACTAAATAATTTACAAAATTACAATACCTCATCTCATAAATATCGACAGATACGTGGAACATGTGGACAACGAGAAAGGTTTAAAGAAAAATGAAAATAAAAAACGATACGAAGAATCAAAAAGACAGTGGACATTTTATGACACACATAATGAGGAAAGTGGGCTTAGAGAATTTGACACTTACAGCACCTAGTATTCCCGAGCGGCCACCCATTTAGGAACTGACCAGGCGAAACCTTATTTTATTCCTTTGAGCCTTGCGTTTCTGAACAATTTTCTCTTCTGCCTAAATTCCTGGGTCAAATTTCGCAAATAATTGTTATGTAATGTTTCATTGCAGATATAAAATAGTTACAAGTGTTAAGCCACCATTCAAGCTGGATATTAAGTCATTATTCTCTGCTACTGTTCAACCGATGGCTGGGTATTACGTTATTTTTTCTCTACCACCGGTAAAGTGATGGTCAGGGCTCAAAGGATTAACTTCAATGATCGGATGACAAGCGCTGTTTCAACGTGATATGGTCGGGAAACCGTCTACTACATAAACTGAATATATTGTTAACAGTGTCTATAAATAATATTTTCGATTAATTTTATTATAGAAGTACATTCTGATTTTAATATAGAAACGCATTGTGTCTGGTTTTACTATAGAAAATGGATTAGAATCCAGAAAAATCAGTGGTCACGAATTAATGTCTAATTAGCAGAAAAGGGCTATTGTACCCGTGTAACTGAGAGGATCCTCGAAAGGTAATTAATCGAATAAGTACCGACTTCGTTACAGTCACTTCAGTTTAAATATCTTTGTGAAACGTATGTATCCATTTCTTCCACCCCCACAACTATGGATTAAATAGCATGGCAGACTCTGGCCGTGGTTGGCAATCTGTCCAATATTTCTGAAGGACGGTATTCAAGAAGACAGAAGGTGGCGATTGACGTTAAACTTAAATTTTTGAACATTGTATTTATCAGAGAAGCTCTCTATCTTGAGTGGCTCTTGAAGCTTTTATAAGGTGCTCGTTAGTACAAAAAATATGAAACTGATTCTAATCCATAAAACAATGGCGAGCAAGCTTCTCTCATAGACCATAACTACTGTAAGAGTCAGCAGTCTCATTTTTCCAGTCCTGCCATTTCGGCTTCTGTCATTTTACTACGGCCGTAATGTAGCTTCCCTGTGTCTTTTCTAAAAATACTTTCATGGCAACTGTTCTGCTGAACTTCGCTTTATGGTATCTTGAATTTATTCATTTAATTTTGATTAGTTGCAAGATCTTATCATTTATGAGTTAAAATGGCTATATGCAACCATAAGTTCTATGTTTAAGAGCTTCTTTTCTCACATGTAGAATTTTTTCTGTCTTTTATCTTTCCACTCAAAATTTTAACATTAAAATATGTAAATGCAATATGAATCTCTATCTTCTTAATTTGTTTTCATTTATTCTTCTTGTTACTAAATATTTTTTTCTTTTTTCTTTAACACTCCGTAAATACCTGCAACTTAGTGACATTGTTACCTTACTTAGGATGAAATGATTAAACAAAAACTGTAGTCAGTATAGTCCTTACTAATAACCTTTACTTTTGTGCTCCTGTAAATATTGATTATCAATGTAGTAAGTTTGATTCTAAATGGATGCCCCACATTTGTTTCGCTTTACCAGTGTAAGGAAAGCGAAGTAAATATCAACAATTTGGCGTTATATTATTCTTCGATTTCATACTCCATGGGGAGTTAACTCTCGCTTCCTCAGCGAAGACACACCGGAAGAAAAATCAGAATGGTTGCTTTAATTTAATATTAATAATCTCATATATAACATCTCGCAAACAAAATGTAAAAAATGAAAAGTATCAAAGGCACGTACAAAGTCTTCAAGTAACAAATTTTGCAAATAAATAAATCAAACACGGGAAAAGATATTCATTTCAATTCACACATTGGTGGAGTGCTGATGATGAGCTATCTTCAAAGGCCACATAAAATCCTCAAACTTGTTTAAATATTCACGCGAGATTTCATTTTTTTTTTTTGTTTTTTCGTTTTACATTCGCACCTTCAATGGTGTGCACCAGTGCAAATAGACTATAACTGCTTCGCTGCGTTCTTTCATTGCTCCGTGTTTCTCTCTCTGTGTGTGTATGCGTGTATATCAATATTACTTACGCAGCCCCCTTGTAAATCTTAAGAGGAACAAAAAAGAGAAGTTTATAGAATTATTGTTTTATCGTACAAAATAAAATAACATATAATTGTTATACTGTATTGTCCCGTACTTATTTATTTTTTTAAGTGCTGTATCACTTTAGGATGTGCGCGGTTATGGCTCTTCACACCTTCCTATGATTTATAGCTCTGAGCAATATTTTTTTTTCTATCCATCCCCCGTTCTAGTATCCATTTAAACCAAAAAGGTAACTCGATTTTTCCCGTACGATCACCGAGGTTAAGCAACATCGATCCTGATCCGTATTTGGATGGGTGACCACTTCAGAACACCAGGTGCTGTAAGCTTGGATAGACGGGTGGTGCAAATATACCCGAAAGTGTAAATCGGAGAGCAGAGTTTCAATTCCCGCTGGGTTCGTTATATTCATTTTCGTGCAAATACCATTGGCACTACAGGGATAAGGATTTGATTGATTCATTTTTACGGCTCATCAACCTTTTGCAAGTTATTTAAAGCCAGAAAATATTTTTAGAGTGTAAGATTTCTTGTTTGAGGTAATAACAATTTAATGATACAAGCCTTACTAATTAACCCATAGATGCGGTATGGTTATACCTTTCCATGATTATTTGGGCGAAAGTGAATATAACAACCCAAATGAATTTGGACTAATCCAATCATCTACAGAAGTTCGTTAGGTAGTTTATTTGCTACCATCCTCTGTACGTCTTGCCTTCACTATATCCTGTGAGAGTCGAAATCCCCTAATCTTTTTCTATGTCTTAGAAATTTCCGTTGTCTCATTCTGATCTGAGGTTCTTACATGCACAGTTCGTAGTATTCTCATCCTTCGTCTGTAGGAGAAGCTCTCTCTTTCAGCAAAGAGTTCCACAAGCGAGAAGTGTGCGAAAAGAAGTCTCTTCTTTATCTAAGAAAAGATTCTACGACTCTCCCTGCTACTGAGACGGGCCAATATTACATAAGTGTTCAGCGCTCTTTTCTTTGTTTCTAACTAAATATGTCCGTTCCCCTATTCTTTTTTCAGTACTTGGTAGCCATCTCTCGCTGTTAAAATCCGAGATAATGTTTTTATTCTGTCGACAGAATAAAAACATTATCTCAAATTTTAATGTAAACACGTGCATTGATTACTGATCTAATGATTGCCATCACCGTTGATCCTACGGATTATCAAACCTATGCAGGTTATTTAAAGCCAAAAAATATGTTTAGATTGTAAACATTTTGAGAAAAATAATAATGTTTTAGCAATACAACTTACTAATTAACCCATAGCTAGAGGAGAAGTGGTGAATTCATACCTTTCCCAATGGTATTTGCACGAAAATGAATATAACGAACCCAGCGGAAATTGAAACTCTGCTCTCCGATTAACACTCCCGAGTATATTATCCATTTACACCACCCGTCTATCTAAGCTTACAGCACCTGGTGTTCTGAAGCGGTCACCCATCCAAATATGGATCAGGATCGATGTTGCTTAACTTCGGTGATCGTAAGGGAACCGGTGTTTGTGATATGACCGTAGATCAATGATTAGAGATAGCAAAGAGATAAATCTTACTAAAAGCTGAAAAGAACAGGAAGCTGTGGAGAGGTTGATCACCACTGTTCTGAAGGGTATTCATAAGAAATAGAGGAACTTGTTTTGAAATTCCTGTCTCATTAAAGGAGCTTTTTGAAAAGAACTGTAAGAAGCATATTTATGTAATTGTGCAATTTATTTTAAACAGACTGAAGTAGAGAAAAATCTTGAAATAAATACAAAGAAACCTCTGGTTTTACAGAGAAATAAGAAACTCCCAAAATATTTAAAATAAATCTAACACCATTCCAGGTGTTACAGAAGCCTTCAGCTCCAGAGCCTTGACCTAAAGCAATCACACGTACGCTGGGAAGCTCATTACTAAGTCATAACTGTGCTTCTGCTGATTCATACATAATATATTTCTACCTCAAAACCAAGGAGAGCTCTAGAAATAAAATAAAAGAAATCAAAACCAAAAGTTTCGGCAAACTGCAATAAATTAAAAGAAACGCAATTTAGGAAAAAAAAGAAGATTTTTTTAAAATTAAATTTAACATGAAATGAAAACGAGATAAAATATTTACAATAAAGTCTAAAGAATATTTTTTTCTTCCTACAGTGTGTATTTTTTTAAAAAGAAATTCTTTTAAGGAAACGAAGAATCTTTGAATGTTTGGAATTTACTTTCTTCTTTACGATGTGAATTTTTAGAAAAAAAAACATTAAAGAAAAAATAGGGTGCTAAGAAACTTTAAAAGAAATATAATTTTTTTTTATTTCGTAAAGTTCCAAAATAATGCTGTTATTTTACATCGATTTTTTTTTTAATTAGTTCTTTTCCAAAATTGAGCACATGCCCAATTAAGACACTTCATTTCTTCGTTTCTTTTCCATTGGAAAAATTGCTTATTACCGAATAAGAACGTACATTACAAAATGCATAGGAACCTTTTTATCATTAATTTGTTGAAATTCCATTAGTGTACAAGTGCTGACTTTCTTGTAATCACTAATGTACTTTAAAAAAACAAAGACTGTTGTTAACTAAATATATATATATATATATATATATATATATATATATATATATATATATATATACTTTGTTTGATAGAACGACAGATATAAAGAGTTGTATACAACCTGATACAACCAAAGTGAAAGGCACGCTCACACACACACACACACACACACACATATATATATA